CCCCCGGGGTCCCCTGGGGTCCCAGAGCTCATTGACCAGGGGCCGGTTCTCACGGCCTGGGAGGATCAGGGGTCGCCCAGCCGTGACGGCAGGGACAATAAGAAGTGTCCACACACACACACACACACACACACACACACACACACACACACACACACACACACACACACACACACACACACACACACACACACACACACACACACACACACACACACACACACACACACACACACACACACACACACACACACACACACACACACACAGGTGTTGACCATGGTTGGTGGAGGCCAAGTGACCAGTAGGATTCCGGATTAGATGTAATCAGGATACTATGGAGGAAATTCTTAAGAGAAACTGATAAATGTTTCATGTACAAAGTTTTTGACTTTTGTTTTATTCAATAAAATAATAAAGAAAGTCAATATACAAGTGAATCGAACTCAAATGCAGGAACAGAGCCACTTCATCCTCAGAGGAAAAAAGAAGAACTCAGGGGCCTCAGAGATGATCAGGGGTCTCCCAGCCGTGACAGCAGGGACAATAACAAGTGTCCTCACACACACACACTCACACACACCTAACAACCCCTCTCACACACACACTCTCACACACACACACACACACACACCTATCAACCCCTCTCACACACACACTCTCACACACACACACACACACACACACACACACACACACACACACACACCTACAGTATCAACCCCTCACACACACACACACACACACACACAAACCTACAGTATCAACCCCTCACACACACACACACACACACACACACACACACACACACACACACACACACACACACACTCACACAAACCTACAGTATCAACCCCTCACACACACACACACACACACACACACACACACACACACACACACACACACACACTCACACACACCTATCAACCCCTCTCACACACACACTCTCACACACACACACACACACACACTCACACACACCTATCAACCCCTCTCACACACACTCTCACACACACACACACACACACACACACACACACACACACACACACACACACACACACACACACACACACACAAACCTACAGTATCAACCCCTCACACACACACACACACACACACACACACACACACACACACAACACGGATATGTTCACCATGTTTGGTGGAGGACATAATCAGATTACATTCCTACACATTTGGGGATGACTACCAGGATTTCAGTAAAAACCTAAAAAGCGCATCTAGTGTTTGTTGTAAAGGATCAGATGTTACAGAACGCCTGCTGCCTGAATCTGCTTCATGGTTTATACCTCATTTGCATATGATGCTAAACACTGGACCTTTAAAGATATGACAAGAGACGATAAGGGGAGGTAAGGTATGAAGACACTTGTTGCAGATCTGGAAGATGATCCATATAGAACAGACTAACGACAGCACATCATTTACCCCCCCCCCCCCCACTGAGGAGAGCACACACATGTGGAAACAGATCAGATCCATCAGCAGCTACAGCATGTTGCCTCACAGTGAGCAAAAGCTACTCTGGCGGATCTAATTTCCTCCGACTGAAGGTGATTTACATGTTTAGAAATCACAGCCAGATTAAGATGCAGCAGCAGCGGAGAAAAAACTAAAAAAAAAATACTTCTAAACAACAACTGGGGTTTTAACAGCTTGGCTGCCACTTCATCAAATATTGAATACATCATTTTCTTGGCACAGAACGAACACAGCTGCACAAAAACACACACGCACAGGTCTACACACACACACACACACACACACAACACACACACAACACACACACACACACACACACACACACACACACACACACACACACACACACACACACACACACACCCACACACACACACACACACACACACACACACACACACACACACACACACACACCACACACACACACACACACACACACACACACACACACACACAGAGAGCTCTGCCTTGTAGTTGTGATAAAGCAGCAGCTCTTTTGTTTTGAGCCGAGCAGGGATTAGCAGCGCCGCTCTTTGTCCGTCCTTTTTCCAGTTGAGCAGAACACAAAAACCTCCACCTCCACTAATACAGTCAGACCTCCCAGCATGCCTTTCACCACACAGCCGCTAAGAACCTGCAAAAGATGCTTTTCAATGAGTTATCAAATCTCCTCTATACTGTCCCTGCCTTTCAAAAGCCACTCTCTTTTGTCTGAGCCATTCAATGGAGCCTTGAACACATCGCACAGGAGTGATGGGCAGATAGAGGCAGTAGCATTGTTCACCTCTTTCAGGCGCAGGACAGTGAAGGCAACACGGGTTTAATATGATAATGCGTGTTCAGAATGCATGTAAATATCCTATCAAACTAACCCCAGTCTTTACAGTAAGCGTCAATCAGTAGGTGTTATTTACGATAATGTAGTCCTGTTGCCACATGAGAATAAATGTTTAGGGTGTGACCACATTTAAGAACTATGAGTAAAAGGCAGAATTATGAGAGAAAAAAAGGCAGAAATATTTGAAAAAAATGCAGAATTATGAGTAAAAAATGTAGAATTATGAGTAAAAAATGCAGAATTATGAGTAAAAAATGCAGAATTATGAGTAAAAAATGCAGAATTATGAGTAAAAAATGCAGAATTATGAGTAAAAAATGCAGAATTATGAGAAAAAATGTAGAATTATGAGTAAAAAATGCAGAATTATGAGTAAAAAATGCAGAATTATGAGTAAAAAATGCAGAATTATGAGTAAAAAATGCAGAATTATGAGAAAAAACAGAATTATGAGAAAAAAAGCAGAATTATGAGAAAAAAAGCAGAATTATGAGAAAGAATGCAGAATAATGAGAAAAAAATGCAGAATTATGAGTAAAAAATGCAGAATAATGAGAAAAAACTGAATTATGAGAAAAAAAGCAGAATTAGGAGAAAAAATGCAGAATTATGAGAAAAAATGCAGAATTATGAGAAAAAAAGCAGAAATGTGAAATATAAAGCAGATAAATTAGAAGAAAAGTCAGGATTGTGAGAGAAAAATCTGAGAAAATGTTCACATCTCATATGTCCCTAATCCTCTTCCGTACTCCCTGAAACCTGGCGCTTCTTGTTTCATTTCAGTTCCCACTCTACAGCAGCAGTTCGAGTGCAGCGGGGGTTTTGATGAGTTCATTAAGAGCCCACGTCATTTATGCACAATCACACATAAGGCAACGGTCAGCCAGGATTACCCAGAAGGCCGTGCGGGAGTTTCAGATTCACTGCGAAACCACTGTGAAATCACTCAATCTGATTACTTTCCGTTATTTTGTTGGATTCGCTCAATATCAAATGCAACGCTAATCAATACAAGAGAAATGTATCTATCGGATGTTTTTACTTAAAAAGTGCACTCAGACTTCCTTTACTATCTGCTATCTCTAAGACCTCCATTTTTTTAACATTTCCTACACATTTCAGAAGTGCAACAGCGAGTCATTTGGGATTTGGAAGCATCGATGAGCTCCTTCCTGTCGCCTTTTCACAGATCAGGTGGTCTGTAATTAATAATTCATGAGTAGAGGTCAGGCTGAGGATCATGTTGACTTAACATTTGCTCTGACATTTCAGCCCGTCATTAGCTCTCACCACACGACACCTCATCAAAGTCACTCACACAAGAGAGGAGGAGGAGAAGAAGAGAGTAATGGATAACATCAGGATTAAAAAAAACGGTAACTATATTCCTATTTCGGAGACAAAATGACCGGGAAATGCTGATATATATTGAGCTGCTAACGTTGCTAAAGACGCTATCTTCCAAGGAAGTCTATGAAAATAAATGATACCTCTCTCTTGATTACCTCAGATTGTAGAGAGGTCTATGAGGCAATGTCCCTACATCGCCCAGAATGCACCGTGGTTTCCATTCCCAATATGCAGCAGAGTTAAATCTGCAATATTTGCTCATGTTGTTAAACAAACTTAGCTAAAGTGGGACGGATACACACTTTAATCCAACATCCAGAACCACAGAACCAGAGCTCACACACTCTTGAGGGTAAATGTGTATCATCAGCCGTCATCCGGCACATTCTCTGATAGGAAACGAGTCGCCGGGTAGGAAACACATCTCAGCCAATAACAACAGCGCCATGTTGATTCCAGCGCGGTGATATTGGATGATATTGACTGTTGGAGAGGATAGCTGGTGGTTTTTTCTCAAAGTCATTTCCGACCAAAGCAAGGACGTGGACACACACACACACACACACACACACACACACACACTCACACACTGAAAAACACTCACTCACAAACTGAGATCGGAGAGCTGACAATGGACAGCGTACTGACAACCCCTGTTTTCAGTTGTTGACAGATGTCAGTCTACATCACACACACACACACACACACACACACACACACACACACACACACACACACACACACACACACACACACACACACACACACACACACACACACACACACACACACACACACACACACACACACACACACACACACACACACACACACACACACACACACACACACACACACACACACACACACAAACAGACACACACACAATTGTAATATGTTACAATTACCCAGAGGTGGAAGAAGTACTAGTGATGTTTCACATAAGCAAAAGTAGCAATACTGCAGTGTGTGTGTGTGTGTGTGTGTGTGTGTGTGTGTGTGTGTGTGTGTGTGTGTGTGTGTGTGTGTGTGTGTGTGTGTGTGTGTGTGTGTGTGTGTGTGTGTGTGTCATCCTCTCAGTAATGGAGGGTCGTCTGTCATCACACACACACAGTTTGGTAATCTTCTCTGGGATGTGTCTGAACAAGATGAACAGCAGCCTATCTACTGTATCTGTGTTTTCATTAACTGAAGCACGGAGAGGTCGAGAGAGTGAAAATGACAAGGAGGACGTCAAGAGCAATGAGAAAAGGAAGAAAAGAGATATAGAAATATATATATATATATTGACTGCTCTTACCGGCTTCTTGAACCAGATCTGCGGTGGTCACATTTTTGGGATTCGGGCCGATTCTGAACGTCAACGCTGGACCCAGGACTCTGTGGAGAACAGAGGAGAAGAGAGAGAAATGTGAGGATGTTTATGGCTTTCTTTATATCTGTCTGTTTAATATCAGAATACAAAGTCCTTTATTAGTCCCACCACAGGAGAGGACTCTTTAAAGTAGAGACACTACATACTGATATACACCTGAACATCAGCAGGAGAGGACTCTTTAAAGTAGAGACACTACATACTGATATACACCTGAACATCAGCAGGAGAGGACTCTTTAAAGTAGAGACACTACATACTGATATACACCTGAACATCAGCAGGAGAGGACTCTTTAAAGTAGAGACACTAAATACTGATATACACCTGAACATCAGCAGGAGAGGACTCTTTAAAGTAGAGACACTACATACTGATATACACCTGAACATCAGCAGGAGAGGACTCTTTAAAGTAGAGACACTACATACTGATATACACCTGAACATGAGCAGGAGAGGACTCTTTAAAGTAGAGACACTACATACTGATATACACCTGGACATCAGCAGGAGAGGACTCTTTAAAGTAGAGACACTAAATACTGATATACACCTGAACATCAGCAGGAGAGGACTCTTTAAAGTATAGACACTACATACTGATATACACCTGAACATCAGCAGGAGAGGACTCTTTAAAGTAGAGACACTGATATACACCTGAGCACCAGCAGGTCTTTAATAAAAGATGCATCACCCTCCCACGTTGTAGGAAAATCCTAAACAGGGCATTTACAGAGAATTTTAAAATGCCGCAAGTGAGAAATGCTAGTATATCTGCATCTTATCACACACACTCCTGTACTTCTGCGTACTGTACGACTGAACACACTCTCCATCAGTCAGCCTGCTTCACACACTCTGCCAGGGGCAATATGTGAGACACACACACACACACACACACACGGATGTCCTTCTCTAAAGCCTCCACCTTTGCTTGCTCTGGTAAATGTCAATATTTCCACAATCTCTACCCCGGCCTGCCTGACAGAAGCTTTTCTGCAGATGCATCTCAAATTGAATTGACGTGATTGTTTTTTCTCAATAAATACACCCGTGGTGGAACACACACACTAACACACACACACACACACACACACACACACACACACACACACACACACACACACACACACACACACAGACACACACACAGACACACACTCACACCAGCTGCAGAGCGGGAGATGAAGTTAAGACAGAGGACTTCACACCCTGTGTTATCGGATGTGTAAAGCTTGGACTTCATATGAGCTTCTGCTGATGAGTGTGAGACTGGTTGGCGGGATATTGGAAGTGTGTGTGTGTGTGTGTGTGTGTGTGTGTGTGTGTGTGTGTGTGTGTGTGTGTGTGTGTGTGTGTGTGTGTGTGTGTGTGTGTGTGTGTGTGTGTGTGTGAGGATGGACTTGTGTGTGTCCCACTCCCCCTAGTGTTGAAGAGGAGCAAAACACTTACGTCATCTGAAAAAAGGCACATTTTCACATTTCTTCTTGCAAAGGGACTCATTTTTTCTGATTTCTCGCAGCCTTGATTGTGTTCAGCGTGTATAAATCTATAAATTCTCCGTCTATATTTTAGTTTTATATCTCCCTGTTGTCATGTTTAAGTATCTCTTCTCATTTTCACACACTCCTCACCTGCCGAGGACACACACTGCGTCCTCCACCTACAAGAACGCCCGTTCATTACTTTGTGAGAGGAGAGAGGACGGCGATAAACTCTGTGTGTGTATATAATCAATATGAGGTGTTATCCAGAGGCTTAGAGAGTAATGGATTACATGTAGCAGGATTATTAGGACACAAAAAAGACACCTGTAGTCCCGTACAGTTACAAGTACTGTACTTCCCATTTTAGGCTTTTATGCTATAACGTAAGGGGAAATAACCCGACTTTTAGTCCAATTTACGACTATTTAATTTAATTTTACAGATACATAATATAATGATCTGATAGATAAGGTTTAATGCGAAGAAAGCATGTTGAAAAAAACTTAAAAAACAGGTATATAGATCAGAGAAAGGGAGAGCGCATTAGAAATGGATGCATTTAATTAATAAAGACATTGTTTTTAAGTGTCCCTGTTTTGACGTGAGTAATAGATCCACCGCTGTGACTGACTGAAATCATATCCGTGTTTATTCATCCGCATCCTAATAAACACCAGTCATTATCAGGAGATGTTCCCCGGTGATGTGAAATGACAGGTGTAACAACAGGATGAGTTTTAATGCCGACATGTTTGAGGGGTAAACTACCAAGAGAGTTCAACAGAGCCAGGGCTACTTTAAAGAGTCCTCTCCTGATGATGTTCAGGTGTATATCAGTATGTAGTGTCTCTACTTTAAAGAGTCCTCTCCTGATGATGTTCAGGTGTATATCAGTATGTAGTGTCTCTACTTTAAAGAGTCCTCTCCTGCTGATGTTCAGGTGTATATCAGTATGTCGTGTCTCTACTTTAAAGAGTCCTCTCCTGCTGATGTTCAGGTGTACATCAGTATGTCGTGTCTCTACTTTAAAGAGTCCTCTCCTGCTGATGTTCAGGTGTATATCAGTATGTAGTGTCTCTACTTTAAAGAGTCCTCTCCTGCTGATGTTCAGATGTGGATCAGAACATTGGTATTAAGGTCACGGTGCAGCAGTACAGTCTGACTCTCTCTCTGAGTCTCCAGCTAAAGCACTGCAGAGCTATGATGTGTTCACATGCTGTGGGATATTCCAGACTTCACTCCTCCTAAAGGATTTCTTGAAAGGCTTGTCAGATCTGCGTTGAAAGGTTGAAACACACATTTCCTCTGCCTCCTACATGGCGCCACACCGAATGTACAGCCCAAAAAACGGCACAAGTTCAAGGACAATTCGCCCGCTCATTAATATATTACTACTTTCTCTACTTCCAGCTCTTGATCTACTGCTGCCTCCATTTCTAAACTGAGCGCCGTTTGAAGGCTCGACTGCTCTCGGTGACCAAAGAAGAGGCAGTGTGTGAATACGATGGAGACATCAGTGTGTGTCTGGAGGTAATTAGGCCTGATTTGTCTCCCTGCGCGGAGTCAAACACTCGGAAAGGTCACAAAAACAACAACCGCCTCCAGTCTCGAGCACACACAGTCCTGTTTGTACAAGACAAGACCATTTCCAGCGCTTTACATGCAACCAATTACCCGTGCACTGCCAGGTAAATCATTATGTGTGACAATGTGGAGGGCATGTTAGTGTTTAATACAGTGTAATCCTAATGAAATGTAACTGTTAACAAAGTGGTATCCTGGGAATGGCATATGTGTGTGTGATAACAGATGTGTTCACGCAGGGTTTTATGACACTACAGGAAGGACATATGTGCAATATGTGCAATATACACCTGGCTCCTATAACTTCAGAGCTGTTACAGGATGTGTATTTTGTAAATGGTGTAATTGTTACAGTCGTCATGCTTCAAGCAATAAAAGAAAATATCTTAAAGTACTTTATATAGATATTGTGTTTCTTTGCCTAACTCGTCGTTTTCTCTAGACAGCAGCAGCAGATTTTAAGTTTCTACGACAGACCTGAACATGTGGAAGTGTTTCTACAAGACAAAACCACTTCCAACGCTTTAAAGGTCACCTATCATGCTATTTTTAGGCAGTAGCATAGGTCTCAGATATATACAAATATATACAAAACATGTCTATGAAGTGTTTTGCTCAAAATACCAAACAGATCACCCATTCTAGCCATGCCTCATATCCCTCTATTTCACTTCCTGTTTCTAAAGTGCTGATTTGGGGTATAAAGCTTTAAAAAAAAAGGAGGGGGCTAAGCTCATGCAGGACCCGGCAGCTACTGTCTAAACTAAATACTGCCGTGATGAAACGCCATATCATGGATTATCAAGGATTCTCTCTGAAACAGTATGGAGCTCAAAGGCTTTCTCTCTTGCCGGTTATACCACAAGGTGAGTTCCTTTTTATTTCCTGCTTCTTCACACACATGCTCTCCAGTACAGGTTAGCTCTGAGTGTTAGCCATGCTAATGTAAACACAGACCATATTACGTCCAAAACAGTCGGGCATTGATTCTGATAGCAACGTTTCTGATAGGGCCGTGGGTCCACATTTCAGATATTACGTCATATCGGACGCAAATCTGGATCAGCTCCGTTGTTCCCCCGTTTTTAGAGATTTGGGTACGGAGGAAAAGAGAGAGGGTTTTATTTTCTGACGCTGCGTGAGCTCCCTGACACACCGGGGACACATAGTTATGTAGACATCAAAAAGTGCATTTTGCATGATAGGTCCCCTTTAAATCATTATTTGTGGAGGGCATGTTAGTGTTTGTACGTACGAGAGTTGTGTGAGGTCTGAAACGTGGAGGTTCAGTTTCTCCGTCAAGCGCTCCATCAGCTCTGAACCCTGGGAAGAGGTGAGGGACCTGGGGAGGAAAAGAGAGAGCAGGGGGTCAGTGTCAGAAACATGCAACACACACGCAGATACTTAAGTAAGTAATCCACCAATGCAACTGTAAGGGAATACAGTTTCTTTTTTGTATCCCGAGTACCCGTTACATGCAATCTGTTCAGCTGGATCAGCTGTTTGGTAAATCATCTGCTTTCTCTTCGAGCAATGAAACAAACAATACGGTGCAAATGGAAAACCTGCATGAGGCGTAATGGCTGCATCGTATCGACGCTCCATTCCCTCCCTTTTCTCATCGTTCTCTTCCCTCACACACACATTGGCTTTCTGTCTATGCACACACACACACACACACACACACAAGGTAAAACAAGATGACCCAAAGTAGACAAACACACACTCACACACACACACAGTCGCCCTCGCGGTGCGATGAGAATAATAAGGTGCAAATGGAACGGAGGTGAAGTGTAATGGCTGCTCTGATGAAGCCATGCCTCATCTCAGCTCAGACGGAGAGCAGATCGCTGAGGAAATAGACCAAAATAAAGGCAATCTGCGGCTGGATGAAGAAGGGCATCACCCACACACACGGAGAAAGAAACTGCTTTACTGTCGACAGCTTAACCTGAGAGTGCAAGGTGACATGAGACAAGAGTCGTGGATCAAAAGGAGGATTCTGTTAGAGGAGAAATGTGAATTGCTAGATGCTATATAGCTATATAAGAGGACGTATTCTGCTCATCTTCAGGTTCATATTTGTATTTCGTGCCTCATGTTTCCATGCTTTAAAGAGGCCCTATTCTGCTTTTAGTGGTGTTCCCTTTTCCTGTAGTGTGTAATATATGTTTTAGTGCATGTAAATGGTCTCCAAAAGCTAAAATCACTGAGTTTCTCTCCAATCAGAGCAGACTGGGCTCTGGTTTCAGACAGAGGGTGAAAAGAGGTGCTGTCAGAACATTACAGCATGGAAACTGAATACTAATATCAACCTGAACATCAGCAAAATAGGGACTCTTTAAAGCTCAAAAAGTGCTTTATTTTACATACTGGCTGGCTGGCTCTGTTGTGATTGGTCAAGTGCTTAGAGATGTCCCGCCCCTTAGCCTATCACGTACAATTTGTCGAGAATCCATAGTGATGTCACTGTGTTTCGGAGCCTTATGCTGCGTTCACACCGGACGCAATGCGAATATTCGCTTCGCTCTAATCGCTGGAGTTTCACCGCGGCTGCCAGCTGTGTTTACTCGCATCATTCAAACAAGACGCGCTGGCTCGGGGGCTACAACTACAACAAGATGGACATATTTGACCGTGATTTAATTGTAATACACGTTTCAAAATGATGAAGTAACAACATACTGATACCGGTTAGTAAAAACCATGAATTAATGCTTTGTCAAGTTTGCAGACAGACGGCAGGCGAAAAACCTTTTAAAATGCGTGTTTTCTAAATGGAGATTGGCTAAGCTAACGCAGTATATGCTCCGACCGTCCACACTCACAACAACGGCCTATACAGACATAAATAAAGCAGCGACTGTATTCACCATGACACAGGCAGTCTGTGGTTTGTACTTGTTTAACTTTTGTCTAGTTTCTGAACAGATATGAGGAGCTGTGAGCTCTGAGTGCTAACAGCTAACGTTTTCTGGTTGAACGTCAGTGACAGCTGGCTGAGATCCTCACCGCTGATTGGCTACCACAAGTTCGTGTCACGCAAATATGACGCTCAAGTTGAAAAAATTGAACTTGAGCGTTTGTCGCGGCCCCCTTCAATCGCTTCAATCGCGCCGCGGAATTCGTGTCTGTCCGCGTCTCTGCATTGACTTTACATGTAATCGCGCCGCCCCCAAACATCGCATCGCGTCCGGTGTGAACGCAGCATAATGGTGGGAACGTTTGGATTTTCAGCCTTTCCAGACCATTTACATGCACTAAAACCTAAAGGACACGATACAGGACAGGGAAGACCCCCACACATAATAATAGGGTCTCTTCAAAGCACGGAAACAAAACATCATGTTTCGCTAAATGCTATCTTTCAAGGTTATAATGACGCAGAGATATTCTTGTGTCTAGCCTGCAGTTGACACCACAACACAGATGCCATATCCCGCCCCCCCCCCCCTCCTCTGAGAGAGTGGGGGTGTTTCTGTTGTTCTTCCACTTCTATTTTCTTTTTTCCTGAAAGTTAAGGATCCTCCGAAGTGATTCCTCTCACGTTCAGATCCCTCTGCGCTGATCCCAGCAACCGGAGAGCTGCAGAGTGACTGGGTTGTTGATGCTCGCTGTTCCCCTTGGGTTTCTCTTTCTCTCTATACCTTTCCACTTCTTCTTCAACCTCTTCCTCTTCCTCCTCTTCCTCCTCTTCCTCTTCTTCTTCTATTCCCCTAACCCCCCCACCAGCAGCGCCACCATGTCAGCGCTGTCAGATAAAAACGGTGAAACCATGAGGTCTGCAGCCTCTCTGTAGGCTGACTATAGGTGTGTGTGTCTGCGAGTAAACCAGGAGGTATTTTATTCAGAAGGTGACCGGTGTCGTACCTCTGGTGCTTCTGTGTTTACATCATTATTAATTATGCACACACAGAGAGTGGGATATTATAAATACATACTAATGGGATTTAAATACAAAAATGTGGGAACAAGGAGGTTTTAATTCTTCTAATCCCTTGTTGTTTTTCTTTGGTTTTTACTTTCATCTTTAGTTCTCTTTGATTTATTATGTGTTCTGCTTCGTTGATTCCCTCGATGGACACAATGCAATACATTCATGTATATTAAGCACATTTCTGTTCAAAGCTACCTCGTTAGTTACCTAGTTTAGGTTACGTCTCAAACGGGTTAAATATAAGGACAATTTAACCTAGAATCCAAATTCAATTAGCCCGTGAATGTGCCAATTAGCTAACGAACGTCATCCGTCTAGCAAACGTTAGATATTTACTCTACAAGCTACCTCACGTTCGTTATCCATCTAGTTATCTAGCTTACATTATCCACCTTTCTAACAAGCTAAAAACAGGCTTTTGTAATTAATTGACTTGCAGTGTGGATCTGTGTCTACGTTCAGACAGTGAGAGTCTCTCAAATACGCATTATTTGGGTAAACTAATCACATGTTGGTGATCTTTCTCTCCTGAATAAGTGGTATTACCTAATAACAGTTCATTTGAAAGCTTAAAAGCTGTTTCTTTGGCTAGGTAAAGGTTGATAAAGTAACTTCTACAGCAGCCAGAAGCACAAGGTGAACATGTGTGGCATCAATGTGACAAACACTGTCCCAACATGAGGTGTGTGAAGGACACGCTGACACCTGATAAAGGGATTTGAGAGATAGGAAGTTATCTCCGCTGACTACCACACAGTAATAACACACACACACACACACACACACACACACACACACACACACACACACACACACAACACACACACACACACACACACACACACACACCACACACACACACACACACACACACACACACACACACACACACACACACACACACACACACACACACACACAGAGGGGTTTATCATCCCTGTTGTAATCAGGATTTCTGCAGCGCTCTCTTTTCGTAAAGACCTGATATGTGGGCGGGTTTTCCCTGAGACGTTTCGCATGAAATCGGGTTTAAGAAACGGAACAAAGCAGAGACATGTGAGGTATGAGAGGTGTGAGAAGAGGAGAGCGGAGCAATACACTGGGATGAGAAGCGACTACATGAAGACGGTTTATAATAATAGAGAGGAGGTTTTACAAGGTGAGCATTTAAGGTATAGGACTGAGATTATTGACATCTTTATCTTGTTATTGACAACAAATACCAAGAAACTACTGAACATTGTTCTCTTATTTAAACCTTAAATGGGCGTTCAGTATTATGGGAAATTCACTGATTGATATCTTCCACATTACACCCATATTACACTGGTATTACACCCATATTACACTGGTATTACACCCATATTACACTGGTATTACACCCATATTACACTGGTATTAGACCCATATTACACTGGTATTAGACCCATATTACACTGGTATTACACCCATATTACACTGGTATTACACCCATATTACACTGGTATTACCCCCATATTACACTGGTATTACACCCATATTACACTGGTATTACACCCATATTACACTGGTATTAGACCCATATTACACTGGTATTACACTGGTATTACACCCATATTACACTGGTATTACACCCATATTACACTGGTATTACCCCCATATTACACTGGTATTACACCCATATTACACTGGTATTACACCCATATTACACTGGTATTACACCCATATTACACTGGTATTAGACCCATATTACACTGGTATTAGACCCATATTACACTGGTATTACACCCATATTACACTGGTATTAGACCCATATTACACTGGTATTAGACCCATATTACACTGGTATTAGACCCATATTACACTGGTATTAGACCCATATTACACTGGTATTACACCCATATTACACTGGTATTAGACCCATAGTACACTGGTATTACACCCATATTACACTGGTATTAGACCCATAGTACACTGGTATTAGACCCATATTACACTGGTATTAGACCCATATTACACTGGTATTACACCCATATTACACTGGTATTAGACCCATATTACACTGGTATTACACCCATATTACACTGGTATTAGACCCATAGTACACTGGTATTAGACCCATATTACACTGGTATTAGACCCATATTACACTGGTATTACACCCATATTACACTGGTATTAGACCCATAGTACACTGGTATTACACCCATATTACACTGGTATTACACCCATATTACACTGGTATTAGACCCATATTACACTGGTATTAGACCCATATTACACTGGTATTACACCCATATTACACTGGTATTAGACCCATAGTACACTGGTATTACACTCATATTACACTGGTATTACACCCATATTACACTGGTATTAGACCCATATTACACTGGTATTACACCCATATTACACTGGTATTAGACCCATATTACACTGGTATTAGACCCATATTACACTGGTATTACACCCATATTACACTGGTATTACCCCCATATTACACTGGTATTACACCCATATTACACTGGTATTACACCCATATTACACTGGTATTACACCCATATTACACTGGTATTAGACCCATATTACACTGGTATTAGACCCATATTACACTGGTATTACCCCCATATTACACTGGTATTACACCCATATTACACTGGTATTACACCCATATTACACTGGTATTAGACCCATATTACACTGGTATTACACTGGTATTACACCCATATTACACTGGTATTACACCCATATTACACTGGTATTACACCCATATTACACTGGTATTAGACCCATATTACACTGGTATTAGACCCATATTACACTGGTATTACCCCCATATTACACTGGTATTACACCCATATTACACTGGTATTAGACCCATATTACACTGGTATTACCCCCATATTACACTGGTATTACACCCATATTACACTGGTATTAGACCCATATTACACTGGTATTAGACCCATATTACACTGGTATTACCCCCATATTACACTGGTATTACACCCATATTACACTGGTATTACACCCATATTACACTGGTATTAGACCCATATTACACTGGTATTACACCCATATTACACTGGTATTACACCCATATTACACTGGTATTAGACCCATATTACACTGGTATTAGACCCATATTACACTGGTATTAGACCCATATTACACTGGTATTACCCCCATATTACACTGGTATTACACCCATATTACACTGGTATTAGACCCATATAACACTGGTATTAGACCCATATTACACTGGTATTAGACCCATATTACACTGGTATTACACCCATATTACACTGGTATTACACCCATATTACACTGGTATTAGACCCATATTACACTGGTGTCAGACCCATATTACACTGGTATTAGACCCATATTACACTGGTATTAGACCCATATTACACCCATATTACACTGGTATTACACTGGTATTACACTGGTATTACACCCATATTACACTGGTATTAGACCCATATTACACTGGTATTACACCCATATTACACTGGTATTAGACCCATATTACACTGGTATTAGACCCATATAACACTGGTATTAGACCCATATTACACTGGTATTAGACCCATATTACACTGGTATTACACCCTATATTACACTGGTGTTAGACCCATATTACACTGGTATTACACCCATATTACACTGGTATTAGACCCATATTACACTGGTATTAGACCCATATTACACCCATATTACACTGGTATTAGACCCATATTACACTGGTATTAGACCCATATTACACCCTATATTACACTGGTGTTAGACCCATATTACACTGGTATTACACTGGTGTTAGACCCATATTACACTGGTATTACACTGGTAATAGACCCATATTACACTGGTATTAGACCCATATTACACTGGTATTAGACCCATATTACACTGGTATTACACCCTATATTACACTGGTGTTAGACCCATATTACACTGGTATTACACCCATATTACACTGGTATTAGACCCATATTACACTGGTATTAGACCCATATTACACCCATATTACACTGGTATTAGACCCATATTACACTGGTATTAGACCCATATTACACCCTATATTACACTGGTGTTAGACCCATATTACACTGGTATTACACTGGTGTTAGACCCATATTACACTGGTATTACACTGGTAATAGACCCATATTACACTGGTATTAGACCCATATTACACTGGTATTACACCCTATATTACACTGGTGTTAGACCCATATTACACTGGTATTACACTGTTATTACACTGGTAATAGACCCATATTACACTGGTATTACACCCTATATTACACTGGTGTTAGACCCATATTACACTGGTATTACACTGTTATTACACTGGTAATAGACCCATATTACACTGGTATTACACCCCATATTACACTGGTGTTAGACCCATATTACACTGGTATTACACCCTATATTACACTGGTATTACACCCTATATTACACTGGTGTTAGACCCATATTACACTGGTGTTACACCCTATATTACACTGGTATTACACCCTATATTACACTGGTGTTAGACCCATATTACATCCATGTAACACCAATATTTGCCCAATATTCCACCATGATTCCACTGTTATTGCACCTATTTTACACGCATGTCAAACACATGTATAAATAAGATCATTTAATCCTAATCCTACTCACTCTGATCCGGTGATGATGTATCCGAAGTGTCTGTCCTTCCCTCTGCTGGAGAACTCCTTCACCGCCACGTGGACCAGCTGAGTCTTCACCTTCACCTCCTTCATCTTCTGTGGTTCCTCCTGCTGCTGCTGTTGTTGTTGTTGTTGTTGTTGTTGTTGTTGTTGTTGTTGTGGTTTCTCCTGCAGGTGGAGAGCAGCAGGAAGTTGACCTAGCGTCGTTCGGCTCTGGACGTTTTCCTGTCCGACGGTTTTCCGGAGGGAAGCCGGCGCTCCGACGTTTACCTTTGGAAAAGATGGGAAGAAACAACATTTCTTTGACAAATATTTGTATTTGAATTTTGTTTTTTGACACAAGGATATATCCCCACAAAGAAGAAGCAAAAACATAATCAAAGAAAATACGAGAAAGAAAGTAAGAACAAAAACTAAGTATATTTACTCAAGTACTTTACTTAAAGGGGACCTATCATGCAAAATGCACTTTTGTACGTCTTTTATACATGAATATGTGTCCCCAGTGTTCCAGGGAACTCACCAAGTGTCAGAAAACACAACCCTCTCTATTTTCCTCCATACCCAAATCTCTAAAAAAGGGGCTGCAACGGATCTGATAAAGACTGATCCAGATTTGAACACTTCTATGTCGTCACAGAAGTGGCGCTACGGCTATTGGGCCAACTCTCCACCTATCAGGGGAATGTGGGGTTGGGCCACGTCCGGCCATTGCCGCTCTAAAGCGCTGGAGACGCTGTAGTACATATGCCAGGCCTGTAAGTGGCGCTGTAGTCTGCCACAAAAGCAGCGAAGAAGACTTCCCGCCCATAGTTACCATGGTTACCCTTCTGTTTATTCTCCGCTGTGGCTTTCTTTCTCCCTCCCCGAGGCAAGCGTTTGCTCCCGCTGCTTTAATTCAATGCATGAAAACAGAAACGTATAAATATACCTTATATAGGTATGGCCCTACAATATATAATTTAAATATAGCATGATAGGTGTCCTTTAAGGACAAGATTTAAGGTGTATTTGTTTTTTATTGTCATATCTACAGTAGAAGAGGTAGTTGCACTGTACGATGAAATTCTTATGTTTCAGCTCTACAGAACTAAATATTAAGGAACTATGTAAACAAATATATAAGATAAGAACTAGCTGAGGGGGAACATTTGAGAATATGAGCTGACATATATTCAAATATTGTAAAAAGAAATGTAAAAAAATGCATACAATTGCAAAAAATGGCAAATACAAATTGAAAATAGCAAAAACAATGTTAAAAAAATGCATATAAATTTCAAAACATTGTTAAAAATTGCACAGAAATGTTTAAAAATGTATAAGAATTGTAAGAAATTGTAAAATAAATTGCATAACATTTTCCCAAAATGAAAGTGCACGATATGCTGCATTATAAAACTAAATAAATAGATAAGATATACAAACAGAAGGGTAGAGTATTGTGTATAAATATATGAATATGCATAAGAATTGATCGATATAACAGCAGGATGTGTGTAAACAATATCGTGACGGACAGTGTTAGCTTTGTTTGTCGACAACAGCAAAATGAATACTTTTTATACCTGAGGAGCGTCGTTGAACGGCTCCATGTTGAGGTAGTCCAGCAGCTTGGAGAAGAACGCTGCGTGCTGTGGTAAACAAAAGGAGATTCAACAACAACAACAACAACAACAACAACAACACAGACGAACAGCACTTCTTGCAGCATTCTGTGTATTTACAATGTTATGAATTGTCTTTTTGCTGTTAATTATAATGAGTTATTGCCTGTATGTAAAGCACCTTGAACTGAACTACTGTCACAACAATATAGGTTAACCTGTTATCTAGCTTCTACCATCACATGTGTCAAACTCAAGGCCCGGGGGCCAAATCAGGTCCTTGGTGGATTTAATTTCGGCCCGCAGGATAATTTCTAATTACTATTAGATCTGGCCCTCCGGTATATTGCACGCACACCTTCACTCCATCCTGAGGGTCTCCTCCGCTCAGAGCCTGACCCCAAACATTGATGAACTTGCACCCAAGATGAGATGCCAAGTATCTGAACTAGCATCACAGAGCAGCACACTGAGTTCACATGGATGTTTCCTTCTGCACTTTCTTTCTCACGACAACAGGGCATGTTTGGTTTGTTCTTTGAGGGAAATAGTTTTGTTGAAGCTGTTGTTGGCCTGTGGAGAAATGTAATCATAAGAAATGACTCTGGAAAAGCTGCAGATGGAGCCATAAGAAATGCAACTGATTATTTAATGTTGTTTTTATAGGCAATCATTGAAGCTTTGTTAGTTCCAGGTTTAATATGTGCAATAAGTTAATTTCAATAAGTCCTGCAATAAACATTGAACCAGTCCGGCCCTCGACTAGTACCCATTTTTTAATGTTGGCCCACTGTGTATGAGTTTGACCCCCCTGCTTTAGACCAATTTGAAGGGTAAAATAGCAAGGAATCAATCATTTGTCCAAAAGAGTATACCCTTAAAAGGATATTCTAGTATAGAAATCTGACTTATTTAAACATTTTTTGGTACATGTGTCTTAACATTTTCTATATTGATTTCAGGGCTAACGACATTTCCAGCCATTATATTTTCCAGTAATCCATTTCTTTTTACATCATGGAGCAGAAAAGCTGCTTTTCTCACCCTGGTTAAATTGATCTAGGTCTTATTGATGTATAACTATAAATTCTTGGCGCTACCGCAGAGTTTCGGATATTTAGATGCTTCAATTTCGGCTTGTTTTTGACGCTCGTGTCTTATTTACGCCGGTTTCTTGCTTTGCTAAACAGCTGGAGATCATGGTTACGATTAAACGTCTAGTCTAGTACTAGACTTGGCCCACTGTGTATTTGAGTTTGACACCCCTGGTCTACATGATACACTTGATTGACTTAACTTAACTTTTATACCACATTGCGTACTTTCTAAATTGTAAAAAGTGGTATTTTTAATATTCTTTTATATCAGTTGTTTGAAAGAATTAGAGTTGCATTCACTGACATGTTTCTACGTCTAAGTGCTGCTACAAGGTCGCAATACATCCGTTTTTCCTTACAAATGATTAGAAACAATATAAATACATATATTCAATGCATTTTCAGTCAAAATATTAGCTATTTTCATTCATAACACTTTGAAAGGAACTTATTGGAGGTCAGACGACTCTCATAATGTGATGTATGAGATGCTTTGTATGAGGTACAACTTTCTACTTGAAACGTGGATAAAATATGTCTCTAAGAAACCAATTTAGTTTGCAGGGTATTTTTTAAATCACCTTGTCAACGGGCTCTTTGTCTGCGCCGACTCTCTGTTGGCCTGGAAACAAAACACAGATTATGTGAGCAGATTGTGTGGAAACGTACGTGAGAAAAGAGTGGAAAGGAAGGACTCGAAAAAGACATTTGGCAGGAGGTAATGTGCATTTATAAACTCAGAAACTCTTATATCTGTGGCACGAAAGACACACACGGACGAGTCAACATTATTATTATCAACGCACTAAACCGTATTTAATTTTGAAACAAATATTGAGAATTGAGGGATAGTTAGATATCTTTAGAGTATTGAAGATATAACTAATGTTTTAATAATGATGAAGAGAACTCTGAAGGTGAGTCAAAAACCCCTCTGGATACACCTGCTATTTGTCCATAAAAGGTGTATATAGGTTCATGCTACCTCAATCGAACGTTTACATTATCACAGTGACATCCAAAGTATATATTTCCAGCTTTCAAAATGTTTCGTTGTGGATGTTTGTGTTACCTATAGTACAAATAATATTACTTTCGAAATCTGCTTTTACGTTTTTTGGTCCAAAATGTTCATCTAGTATGTCAAAATATAAAAAATAACTATCAGTTCATATAGGTGAGGTTGTCTTAAAACGATAGATACCAAACATTGACATGCTAAACATGTCTTAATGGGAGTAAGACAAATCAAAAGTATGCGAAAATTGCCAAATTAGCTCAGGACTCTAAAGGGTTAATGTGCATTATTTAATTTCATATTCTGTTCTTGTACATATCATATTCTATTTACATGTATATAGACTAGATATTTTATTATATATGTTGCATTGTTGGAGGGGCTCAGGTCAGAAGAATGTCTACACCAGGCTGAAGACTTTTCTTTTTGCCGCTGCTTTTAATTGAACTATTCACATCTTAAACTGCACTGTAACTTTTAACTTTTATTCATGTATTTTTTCTTTTAATGTTTATTTTATTATCTTTTCTTTTTAATGACTGATTTTAAATGCTATTTTCATAATGTCTTCCATTTTTGTAAAGCACTTTGAATTGCCTTGTGTTGAAAGGTGCTATATAAATAAACTTGCCTTGCCTTGCCTTACACTGTACGGTATGTAATGCTGCTCCAAAAACAAGTTAAGCTGTTTTCACTTGAAATAAGTACAAAGATCTGCCAATAGAACAAGTGAAAGTTACCTTGGTAAGATGTCTTGAAATAAGAAGGGATATTTAGATAAATCACATCTTGTAATTAGCAGGAGAACTAATTTTGAACTATATTTTAGGATATGTTGTGTTACAAAATAAATCGCAAATGCTCAAAAGTGTTCTGTTTTCTGATGTTAGTTGGTGATTTCCTAATAAATAAATATGTGTTTCATCTGAGATACGACTCAAAATAAGATGTTTTGACTTAACAAGATGAGGCATTGTCTAAAAACAACACCCGATATCTCACTGCAGTGTTACTTCTGAAGTTATTGTGTCTTATATCAGGTGTAGAGACATATTCTATAGATATTAGACACAGATACTTGGAGTTTTTGTGGTGTATAAAACCTTTGAACCTTTGAATCTTTGAATCTTTGTCACGATCTGTCTGTGTTGTGTTTTGTCTTGTCTTTTTCTGGTTTCCTGTTTTGTTTTGAAATGTTTTCCTCCTTGTGTCTTCTCTGTTCCTTCTTCCTGTGTTTGCCTTCCTGTCTTAGTTTCCCTGGTGTGTCTGATTGTTTGATTGTGTTCACCTGTTGCCCTTGTGTTTCTGCCTCCCTTACCCCAGCTGTGTCTCGTCTTGTGATTACCCCTCTCTGTATTTAGTCTTGTCTCTTCCTGTGTTCCCCTGTCGGTTCATTGTTTGTTTCTCCTGTCTCCCACCATGTTGGTCACGGTCAGTTTTCTATAGAACCTATGTGTTTCATGCCATGCTATTGTTCAGCTTTAGAATAAAGCTCGTTTTTGTTTCGAGACCGTTTACCTTTTCTGATAGTCTGCATTTGGGTCCTACCCTTCCACGCATCCTTACAGAATGAACCGACCAAATATGGACCCAGCGGATTTTGAAGATTTTAAGGTAGATCTGTTCGATCTAGACTCTACCCTTCCACGCATTCCTTACAATCTTTGACTCACCTGGCTCTTTGGGTCTCGCTGTGTCTTCCTGTTTTAGATGTTCTGGTTTCCTCTCCTGGTTTTCTTTCAGCTGCGTTGCCACCATCGGTCTGGATTCAGCAGGTTTTGGTTTTGATCCAGTATTTGATCCAGTTTCAGGACCAGGACGCCCCTCTTTCTCCTCGTTCAGAGCTCCAGCTATAACCCCCGCCAAATGGTCCAGATCTTTCCCCATCAGAGACTCAAAGTGAACACTGTGCCGTCCCAACTGGTTCACCATGTTCTGGATGAATCGCTCTGCAAAGGAAGGTGTAAATCATAATGTAATAATAATAATAATAATAATACACTTTATTTATATAGCACCTTTCATGCTTGACGCAGCCCAAAGTGCTTTACACAGTATGACAAAGAAATGACGGTAACAGCTTATATTAAGGTACACTTATTCACCATCAACTAGTTCTTAATTAACATAATAATAGTAATAATACATTTTCCTGGTGCTCAAAGCGCTTTAGAAACAAGTAAAGCAGATAAATAACAACATGTCAAACTACTAGCTGCTTGTTTGTTATGAACAAGACTTCACTTTAAAATAGGGAACATATTCTGAGTTAGAAATACCTTTGTTATTTTGACACAATTAACACTTATAGTTTCATTTCTTGTTACATAAGAATAGACCACATTTGCTAGGTGTTATTATGGGAGAATTGCTATTCTTGTGGTACTGCTGCTGCATATTGAACAAAGCATATTAAGACCCACTCATGTACAACAACCTCCTTATGTACAATAAATAAGCACTAATTAGAATAGAAGATTTGGGAGGGATGAAACCCTCTTTAATGGTCACACATGCAGAGCACACAGCACACAGTGAAATGTGTTCGCTTTTAACCCATCCTAGCACCAGGAGTCTAGCACCAGGAGTCTAGCACCAGGAGTCTAGTACCAGGAGTATAGTACCAGGAGTCTAGCGCCAGGAGTCTAGTACCAGGAGTCTAGCAGCAGGAGTCTAGCACCATGAGTCTAGTACCAGGAGTCTAGCACCAGGAGTCTAGTACCAGGAGTCTAGTACCAGGAGTCTAGTACCAGGAGTCTAGCACCAGGAGTCTAGTACTAGGAGTCTAGTACTAGGAGTCTAGTACCAGGAGTCTAGTACTAGGAGTCTAGTACCAGGAGTCTAGTACTAGGAGTCTAGCATCAGGAGTCTAGCACCAGGAGTCTAGTACCAGGAGTCTAGCATCAGGAGTCTAGCACCAGGAGTCTAGCGCCAGGAGTCTAGTACCAGGAGTCTAGCGCCAGGAGTCTAGCACCAGGAGTCTAGCGCCAGGAGTCTAGCAGTAGGATTCTAGTACCAGGAGTCTAGTACCAGGAGTCTAGTACCAGGAGTCTAGCACCAGGAGTCTAGCACCAGGAGTCTAGCACCAGGAGTCTAGCACCAGGAGTCTAGTACCAGGAGTCTAGCACCAGGAGTCTAGCACCAGGAGTCTAGCACTAGGAGTCTAGTACTAGGAGTCTAGTACTAGGAGTCTAGTACCAGGAGTCTAGTACCAGGAGTCTAGTACCAGGAGTCTAGTACCAGGAGTCTAGTACCAGGAGTCTAGCACCAGGAGTCTAGCACCAGGAGTCTAGCACCAGGAGTCTAGCACCAGGAGTCTAGCACCAGGAGTCTAGCACCAGGAGTCTAGTACTAGGAGTCTAGTACTAGGAGTCTAGTACCAGGAGTCTAGTACCAGGAGTCTAGTACCAGGAGTCTAGTACCAGGAGTCTAGCACCAGGAGTCTAGTACCAGGAGTCTAGTACCAGGAGTCTAGCACCAGGAGTCTAGTACCAGGAGTCTAGCACCAGGAGTCTAGCGCCAGGAGTCTAGCGCCAGGAGTCTAGCACCAGGAGTCTAGCGCCAGGAGTCTAGCACCAGGAGCAGTGGGCAGCTATTGTAGCTACTTGTATATAGACTCTTCTTACACTATTTTATCTGTTTTCTCTGTATATTTAAAAATGTGGTCATGCCAATAAAGCCCCTTTGTATTGGATTGTATCAGAGGTGGGAAGTAGTGGAGTACAAATACTTCGTTACTGTACTTAAGTACATTTTACTTTGACTTCTTACATTTTGAACCCAAATACCTGTACTTTCTACTTCTTACATGTTGAACACAAATACCTGTACTTTCTACTTCTTACATGTTGAACACAAATACCTGTACTTTCTACTTCTTACATGTTGAACTCAAATACCTGTACTTTCTACTTCTTACATGTTGAACACAAATACCTGTACTTTCTACTTCTTACATGTTGAACACAAATACCTGTACTTTCTACTTCTTACATGTTGAACACAAATACCTGTACTTTCTACTTCTCTCATTTCCCAAACAGGCTGGTTCCTTTAGTTTGAATGTGTGTTTGGTGGCGTGATCATTATTATTTAGAGTCATTGCGTGCCTATTGATTTGAACACGATCCGTGTATCCATCATTTCCTGGTCTTCTCTAAAGAAGAGGGACCAATGAAAACGTTGTCATGTTGCCGTTGTTCAGCATGGAAACATTCATTAGCTAACAATGACATTATTGTTCTATTCATATAAAGGGAGGTCAGGTACTCTTTAAAACAGCTGCTAGTTATGGGTACTTTTTACTGAAGTACATTTCAAAGCCTCTTTACTTTCACTTGAGTAAAGAAGTTTAGTCAGTACTTCTACTTTCACCAGAGTATTTTTCAACACGAGTATCTGTACTTCTACTTGAGTAAAGGATGTGTGTACTTCTCTGTATTGTATTGAACGTCAGAGTGTGTGAAGCAGATCTTACCGTCGACGGCGCTGAGAGGCTCTTTGGCAGCCGGTGGATTAGAGCTGGCTTTGAACAGAAGTCTGTCTAGATTCGGTCTTTGGGATTTGGAGGTAAAAGCCACCTGAGATTCTGCTTGGTTGCTCGAAGCTGGACGGATGTAGTTGATGTAGTGGAGCTTTTCGTTCCCTTGCTGAGTGTTCGGTACGTCAGACAGCAGTCGCTCCAGATGACTCGATAACAGTTTGTTCCTCCCTTGATCCCGGTTAGCGTAGTTTTGACTGAGTTTCGGGTGTTTTCCCTCCCCAGTGTGGGTGAAAACTTTGGTGATTGGAGGTTGTCCGGCTTCTTTCTGGTGGCTGAAGATAGTCGTTTCCTTCCAGCTGTGCTTTGGTTTGGAGCGGCTGGGCTCCAGGTCTCCTCCAGACTTAACATCTTCATTCTGCAACACAAAAATGCAAGTTATAGCACATTCAGAGCATCGGTAAACCTCTTTTAGCCATGCTGCATTGGCATACAAGATTTAATAGCTACAGTGTAGATATATCAATGAAAATCTCAGGTCACAGGCTCCTCCAACAGTGCAACACAATAAAACAGATAATAGTTCAAATAGTGCAAGTAAATACAAACAAAATAGAATATAGCATCCAGAGCTAATTAGCATATGCTAGCATGCTAACAAGCCAAACTAAGATGGTGACCACTTTTGTTAAGACTGAAATATCGATTGGTTGCTTTCAGACTTGACGTCTTCATTCTGCAACACAAAATGTGAGTTATAGCACATTCAGAGCATCGGTAAACCTCTGTTAGCCGTGCTAGCAGCATCTCTTGGCATACAGTGCTAATTAGCATATTAGCATGCTAACAAGCTAAACTAGGATGGTGACCACTTCCGTTAAGAGTGAAATAACTCCACAACTATTGGATGACTTGCCTTTAAAGACAGTTCTGACATGAATGACCTCAAGAGGGTTACAAATCCTGTTTAATACTGAAATGTTTTCATAAAAGTACATAGAATGCTAATTAGCATATATTAGCATGCTTACAAGCTAAACTGCGATGGTGACAACTTCGTTAAGAGTGAAATACCTCCACAACTATTGGATGACTTGCCTTAAAAGACAGTTCTGACATGAATGACCTCAAGAGGATGAATCCAAATGACTATAGGGATGTCCTGACTGGTTTTATATATCTGGTTATGACTGAAATGTCTCCAGAACAAGTCCAGCAATACCTGCATAACTAATAACATTCTTATTAGCCTCCTCAGCTGTTCTTTGCAAACAGGTGTAATTAGCATTTTTGAGCATGCTAACAAGCTCAACTAAAATAGTGAACATTCACTAGTTAACGCAATAAAACCAGCATGTTTGCATTGTCATTGTGAACTCGTTAGCATGCTCAAGTTAGCATTTACCCTGCTGTCCCTAAGTTAGCACATTTAGAGCATTGTTAAACATCTTTTAGCCTTCCTAGCGCCGCGACTCTTGGCATGGCTGCTAGTCCACCACTTTTGTCAGGACTGAAATATCAATTTGAATTGCGTCCCTTTTAAAAAGGCATGTCTAACATTAATGACAGCCAGACAATGAATCGTAATGGAATCTCCTTAATTGTCCTCTAGCGCAAAAATGGTCTTAAAAATCCTGGTTAATAGTGAAAGGTTTTCACAACAACAAAAGTATTTAGAGTGCTTATTAGCATATTTTAGCATGCTAACCAGCTACACTAAGATGGGGAACTCATTGCATTGTCCTTGTAAAGGCATTAGCATGCTCAAGTTAGCATTTAACGTTGCTATCCCTCAGAAGAGCATCAGAAAGCTGCTAGCATTAGCAACACTTGTTTCATTCATTTCTGTAAATCTTAAAACACATTTATATGATGGATTTTCAACCTAGTTTCAGATTTGTTCCACCCATTTCCACCTCAGATCAGGTCAGCGTTGTTGTGACACAACCCAGTCTCACGGCATTTCGTGTTATTAGTCACGAAATTAATTGAATCTATTGATTCGTGTTCACCAACACGATTTTCACATTTTTTTCGTGTCACATAGAACGATTTTAAATGCAATGTATTTCTATTGGTAGTATGTTTCGTGCCTGCAACACGTCTTTTTGTCTGGTCGGGTCTTGGAAGACCAGAAGCTGTGTGGTTCATAAAAACATGTTCTTACTCAATATCTTACCCTAAGCCTAACCCTATCCCTTTTATTTTAAATTGTATAATGTCTGAGTTTTTTTGCCGTCAGTGAGGAAAAGAAATGTCTCAGAGCCTCAGAATACTGACATCTGTATTTTATGTCATCTTTTTTTCCTTCTAATTTGTTATTATTTGGTGCAGGCACGAAACATACTACCAATAGAAATACATTGCTTCTAAAATCGTTTTGTGTCAGAATACTGAAATCTGTATTTTTTTAAATGTCTTTTTCCTTCTAATTTGTTATTATTTACATTGCTTTTAAAATCGTTCTGTGTGACACGAAAAAAATGGCGAAATCGTGTTGGTGAACACGAATCAATAGATTAATTTTGTGACTATAACACGAAATGCCGTGAGACTGTGTTGTGTGACAGGCTTTACTTTGAAAAGAGAAGCAAACCTGCAGCTTTATAGACACGACAGGATATGAATAGTGGATTCTAGATCAAAGACAGCTGCCCTTGACAATTGCATTATGGAAATCAGAGATGAGATAGTGTCACTCAAAAGAGTAATTTCATGCATTTCCACAACAAACTTTTAAAAGCATATCCCTTTGCTGCTGTCAGAGAAGTAGCAGAGACCCTTTATCTCGAAAGATAGAAGCTATGATATCAGATTTAGTCTTTTTACCATTTGGCATTGTATTCCTTATTAAAACTGGCACCAAAATGTGTGATTCTGTCCTCTCTTCTTGTCTGAATCATCTCCAGTATTATTATCTGCACTAACACTAGCTATCTCCCCCGGTGCTATTTTCTGTCCTTCAAATGTATACAGAGAAAATGTCAGGCATACTGAGGGGCCATAATAGCATTAGCAGAGCGAGACGGGGGTGCGCCGCCATTCATGCTAACCATGTTTGCCTTTTTCCATCACGCTGCTCAACAAAGGCGCTCCACTCATCAATAAAGAAGGTCCTGAACTCTTCAACTCTGCATTATGGCTGCTCTGACACATCAGCAGGAAGCACAGAGCGTCTCACACAGAAAACCCTACATATGAGGACTGAATAATGTAAAGAGGTGATGGAGATCTTTGTGTGAAAGGGTCTCTGCTCAGTGGGAGAGAGAGGAGAGGATAGAGAGCGAGACACAAAAGCAGTGAGAGGTGGAAGACATACTGACTCTATTTCAAAAGGAATAAGGAAGAGGCCTTTGTGTTACTTAGGCGAAGAAAACACTCTGTTTGTTTACTAGCTTTGACCTTAGGGCTACATCTCTGGAGATTACGTGAAGTATGGTACGTTTTTTTAATTGTCACTTCTGCAATTTATTATGTCAGTCACTAGTTTAGATTACGTTTTTAAAATCACTGGATGTTAGGCTTTCAAAGATAACGATAGGTCGTGTTTTTCCGTCTTGAATATGCCTGTTTCTTATCGTTTCAATTTGTTTCCCATCGTATGGTATCGTTTCAAATCGTGACGTTTCGTATCTTTTCCTATTGAATTGTTGTGTATTGTTTCGTTCCATTTCTTTTAGTTTTGTCTCGTAAAGTATCATTTTGTATTGTTTCTAACTGTTTCACATTGTATCATATCGCTTCTTATCGTATCCTATCATTTCGTAATTTTTTTTATCAAATCACATTGTTTTTCGTATTGTATCGTAAGAAAGCAAGTACATTTCAAAGCCTTACTTTGACTTGAGTAAAGAAGGTTAGTCAGTACTTCTACTTTCGCCAGAGTATTTTTAAACACGAGTATCTGTACTTCTATTTGAGTAATGGATGTGTGTACTTCTGCCAAGGGTGTAACTTTGGTTTGAGAAGTGGGGGGGACACAAAACAGGGGGTCCTCCGCAATGAAAAATGTTCTCAATTTAATTTAATTTCCTGCCTTTCTACAAATATATTAGGGACTATAGTGTTAACAAATCCAAGAAAAATGTGTAGTGTATATAATGAGTGTGCACACTTATCTCGTATCCTATCCATGTGAACCTGTTTTATTTGTGATGACCTCACATCCTCTAGGGGGGTCCGGGGGCATGCACCCCGGGAAGATTTGTTTTCTTTAAATCGAAGCTAAATGCATCAATCTGGTGCACTTTGAGGGCAACATTAAGAGATTTATGGATACAGTTCTCAACACTCATATAAAACAGAACTGTATATATTTCAATAATCAAAAAGCCATTAGAATATGCTCACAAGCAATAACACATCATTGATAAACTCCTCTCTATATCTTTATCTTACCTAGTCTGCTTTCTTTCTTTTTATTTATGCATATTTGACTAATCACTCCCCTTTTAAACTGTGTTTTTTATTTTTGTACTGACCTATAGTACACATTGGAAGGATTTCTTAACTTATTTTATATACAACTAATATTACATAGATGGAAATATTTGTTTACATAGATGACCAAACCGTTTGAGACCCACTGAGATAACTAGACTAAAGTTTACAACCTAATCACTCAGAGAGTTCTTTACCTCCCTGAGCGTTATCTCTCTCAGTCCGACAGGAGAGAGCTCTCCCTCTCCTTATTGTTGAAACAGCTTCTAATCTCCGTTAGCTCCGAGCTAGCACCAGATGCTAACAACAACCCAATCCTCCGTGACGATGACCGCTTGCGTAAAAAATAAATAATAAACACATTTAAAAAGTGGGGGGGACACAAATGGGATTTTGAAAAGTGGGGGGGACATGTCCCCCCTGTCCCCAGTGGAAATTACGCCCATGACTTCTGCCATCTCTGGTGTTACCTGAGTGTGTGTTACCTGAACGTTGGCTCGTTGACTTCCTGTCTGTCCCTCAGGCAGGAAGCCCAGTCCGCTCAGATACTGCTTCATATTTCTGCTCAGCTTCAGGTCTCTGGACCCACTGAAGGCGTTCAGAGGACTCTGAGCTGAGGTCTGATGGCGAAGAGGAACCGTTCTCAGTTTGGAAAGCTCTCGAGAAATCACCTGCTGGGTGAGGTCGTCCTGCCATGTCAGACCTGGACACAAACAAAGGGTTTTTAGATGCTTTGTTAAGGAGTGAGCTGCAGCTTCTCTGATGTTCAGAGTCATTGATCCATTGATTGTAGGGCTGTGCAATTAATCGTATTTTAATCGCAATTACGATTTTGGCCTGCCACAATTACAAAAACAACATAATCGAAAAAAACGATTATTTTGCTTTGCTAGGTTGTGACCGTGCACTGCAACATATTTGATCAAATTTGTTTGTATTTATCATATTTATATATGTTTAGTAGCTTGTGGAAGTGCGCTCCAAAATATTTGTTGATCTTGTTTATTGGTATTTATTATTTTGATATTATTTATTTAAATAATAGTAGATATAAATGTATCATTTTTTAATTTATTTGTGTATTGGTTTTTCAGTTGAATTATACGTTCAGAGTAATCAACAGTTAAAAAGATACTGTTCAAATTATTATTTGTATTTAAAAGTTCAATAAATGGATGTTTTCAAAGTCAATGAATAATCGTATTTAATCATCGTGATATCAATTATTGACCAAAATAATCGTGATTATGATTTTTGCCATAATCGCACAGCCCTAATTGATTGTGTCATTCTTTTTCTCAAGACATATAACCACCAGCAGTACAATTACTGCCTTATTTGTAGCCTCATGCTGAACGATCAGTAGTAAAAGTACTCACTATTATCAGTGTTAAGGTACCTCAGACTGATTCTGATTCTGATCCATTAACTAGCAGTATTTTCTTTGGTCGAGTTGACATAAAAAATACAAAAAATACATTCCTAAATTAGGAAGGACGAGTCTTCTGTGTATTTCTTTATAGAGAAATCAATTGGATAGACATTTGGCTAGTAGGAAACACCTTTTGTACACTATATACTCATAATATAATCTCTTTAAAATACTGTATGCTCTAACTGAGTAATGCCATTGTCAATACAAACATATTTTAATTCATTATTGACTATCAACAGCTGTCTGTCTGTGAGAAGAATATATAGTACCGGTATATATAATATATATGTCAATTGTAGGTTTGTTGTACTTATTGTAAGTTGCTTTGGATAAGTGTCATCCAAATTAAATAAAAGGACTGTGTTGCAAAAGTGTCAAAAAAAGGTTTTATCTATGTTGGAAATATTGTTAGAAACTGCATTTAAAGACACACTTTAAGAAAGCCAAGACATGTACACACACACACACACACACACACACACACACACACACACACACACACACACACACACACACACACACACACACACGTACACATACACACACACGCACACACAGTCAACAAGCCCAGGGAGAGTGTCACACACATGCCTTGCCAACATGTCTGCTAATTGCCAGCCAGTATCTGGGCTGCCGAACTGCTGGAAACCGCTGCCAGGACCAGATGGAGCTACCCGAGCAAAAAAAATTAAATAAAAAAAGATCCAAAAACATGGCCACATTCCCGGGGAGCCGAGAGCCAACAGACAGAAATATAGAAATACCACGGATATCACACTGATGACTCTCCATCTCCGTGCAGAAGCATGCTTTAATGAGACTGACATGTAGATTACTAGCTCCACAGAAACAATGCTGCTCTTCACCTTCAGTCAAGAGAACGTCCACACCACCACTATGTGCACATAAATACCATCATTATACACTCTCTGCTATATAACATGTGCAAAATAGTTATTAATAATGTTCTATAATAACGTGCAATCTGCCACTACGTTTTTACTACTAAATACTGTTAATATTTACATTAATAATGTGACCGTCTGTGTTTCCTGTAGTTATTTAATTGCTCTTTTTACTGCACTGTTAGTGTAACGTTTTATTATTATGCTGCTGTGTTTGTTCAACCCAGTTTCACGGCATTTCGTGTTATAGTCACTAAATTAATCTATTGATTCGTGTCACACAGAACGATTTTAGAAGCAATGTATTTCTATTGGTAGTATGTTTCGTTATTTCGTGACTATTACACGAAATGCCGTGAGACTGGGTTGGTTTATTGTATTTTTTGTAACTATGGCACAAGTCCTATCTTATCTTATCTTAATGATGTGGACACGTTCAACAGCAATGCATGAACACAAAGCTGCAGAATGTCTTCATTAGCCGGCTTTCTGGGGTTTATTCTCATAGATATTCATAAGAGGATCTGAATGCCTCCGGTCGTTTCTTGGCAGCGCTGATCAGCGTATGTTTCCATCCATCCGAGGAACAATGACACTTAACTACCCATGGTTTAACTGATGTGCTGTTATATATCAGTGATAATCATCCCACTTCGTTACTGTACTTAAGTACATTCTTCTGGTATCAGTACTTTACTCCACGACGACTTTTTACTTTGACTTCTCACATGTTGAACACAAATACCTGTACTTTCTACTTCTTACATGTTGAACACAAATACCTGTACTTTCTACTTCTTACATGTTGAACACAAATACCTGTACTTTCTACTTCTTACATGTTGAACCCAAATACCTGTACTTTCTACTTCTTACATGTTGAACACAAATACCTGTACTTTCTACTTCTTACATGTTGAACACAAATACCTGTACTCTCTACTTCTTACATGTTGAACACAAATACCTGTACTTTCTACTTCTTACATGTTGAACCCAAATACCTGTACTTTCTACTTCTTACATGTTGAACACAAATACCTGTACTTTCTACTTCTTACATTTTGAACCCAAATACCTGTACTTTCTACTTCTTACATGTTGAACACAAATACCTGTACTTTCTATTTCTTACATGTTGAACACAAATACCTGTACTTTCTACTTCTCACATTTTGAACACAAATACCTGTACTTTCTACTTCTTACATGTTGAACTCAAATACCTGTACTTTCTACTTCTTACATGTTGAACACAAATACCTGTACTTTCTACTTCTTACATGTTGAACACAAATACCTGTACTTTCTACTTCTTACATTTTGAACCCAAATACCTGTACTTTCTATTTCTTACATGTTGAACACAAATACCTGTACTTTCTACTTCTCACATTTTGAACACAAATACCTGTACTTTCTACTTCTTACATGTTGAACTCAAATACCTGTACTTTCTACTTCTTACATGTTGAACACAAATACCTGTACTTTCTACTTCGTACATGTTGAACCCAAATACCTGTACTTTCTACTTCTTACATGTTGAACACAAATACCTGTACTTTCTACTTCTCACATTTTGAACACAAATACCTGTACTTTCTACTTCTTACATGTTGAACTCAAATACCTGTACTTTCTACTTCTTACATGTTGAACCCAAATACCTGTACTTTCTACTTCTTACATGTTGAACCCAAATACCTGTACTTTCTACTTCTTACATGTTGAACCCAAATACCTGTACTTTCTACTTCTCTCATTTTCCAAACAGGCTGGTTCCTTTAGTTTGAATGTGTGTTTGGTGGCGTCATCATTATTATTTAGAGTCATTGCGTGCCTATTGATTTGAACACGATCCGTGTATCCATCATTTCCTGGTCTTCTCTAAAGAAGAGGGACCAATGAAAACGTTGTCATGTTGCCGTTGTTCAGCATGGAAACATTCATTAGCTAACAATGACATTATTGTTCTATTAATATAAAGGGAGGTCAGGTACTCTTTAAAACAGCTGCTAGTTATGGGTACTTTTTACTGAAGTACATTTCAAAGCCTCTTTACTTTGACTTGAGTAAAGAAGTTTAGTCAGTACTTCTACTTTCACCAGAGTATGTTTAAACACAAGTATCTGTACTTCTACTTGAGTAAAGGATGTGTGTACTTTTGCTATCCCCTCTGTCTCCAATATCAAACAATATCTGGTTCATTTCAATACTGTCAGCCCTGCACAACACTCCAAATATTTTGCACATTTGCACGATTGTTTATTTATAGTCTTTTAATGTCTCTTGTGTACAATGACTTGTCTTTTTATGCTGCTCCAACGCAAACATTTCCCAAATTGGTATCAAAAAGTACTTCTTATCTTTTCTGAAATGAGGCGTTTTGTAAAAGAAAAAGTCAGGATGGAAAAGTGCTGAATTCTTAACGCTCGGATTCCTCTCAATCAACCTCTCAGCTGATTATCCTCGCACTGGGGGGGGTGTGGGGGGGTAAATGTCGTGCAAATTCATCTCTGAGTCCAAAGAAAGAGCAGGTTTTATCACCGGGGTTTCTCATTTTAAGGGTGAAATTCCTCGGTGAATTAACGCCGTGCCATTAGCAGCAACATTAGATATTTCTGTTGACCTCCTGTCTGCTTTCTGAGAGACAGAGGGGCGTCTTAAATATTCAAAGCCTGTGAGATGGGATGCCGTCTTTGAAATGCAGATTTTCCCCTTTCCCTTTACTTCTGTCCACCGACTGGTTTTTAAAAAAGGAGCTAATGGAAGAGAGCGTGAATAATTTAGGAGACATAATTAGTCAAAATGAAATGTGTCAATCCAGATTTGACGTGGACATTAAACTCACAGTGCAATGATGCAGCAGAAAGTATGAATGCATTGTGAACAAACACATTTCATTTACTTTTAAAGTACTGTAGTAGTAGTAGTTGTCATATCGTTGTTCACCCTTAAGTAGCTTTATGATTATATCAACTTGTCATCTCTTTACTGAAGCTTTGACTTCACCAACCTGAGGAGACATGCACATCGTTTCCTAAAAGCTTCAGAAATCTCCTGATGTAAATTATTTGGGCCGTTGTCACTCGTAAAAGGGGCTCTTAATAATTTAAATTCTCTTAATAACTGGACTTAAACTCCCACTGTACATTTTACATTTCTATTCAATTTAAATGTACCATTTCTTGCACAATAATAATCTGTCTATCCATCTATCCATCTATCCATCTATCCGTCCATCTGTCCATCTGTCGGTCTGTCTGTCCGTCCGTCCCTCTGTCTGTCTGTCTGTCTGTCTGTCTGTCTGTCTGTCTGTCTGTCTGTCCGTCCCTCTCTCTGTCTGTCTGTCTGTCTGTT